GGGGGGGAGCAGGAGGAGCAGGAGGACGACGACGATGACGACAGGATTGAAATGCGTCTCCGTCTGGCAAATCGTACCTCGAAATGCAGCAAGATACTTTTGTGTCTCTTTGTGTAGCTTGAGCGCGTCCGACTGCAAGCATTGGGTGATGGCGAGGGGTAATTTGCAACGCCATCATCAATCGTACTCCCGTTGTGATCAGAGGATACCCAGACGAAAGCGACCGATCCGAAAGGCCAGTCGATATAAAAACGCAGGGCACAGACATGGGGGAGGTACCTGCTGGCGATTGAAGTTGGCCACCATGTCTGCATAGACATCGTCAGCATCATCCTTGTGACCAAGCTACGACATGACGGAAAAGGTCAGGAATGTAGTTCTGTCGCACTTGGTGGAAGGGTGGCACAAGCCTGTTTTCCCAGCCTGTTCCTCGCCAACATTCCTGCCAGTGCTGACCTTTTGACGCAGCTTCTCAGATTGCCGCTCCAGCTGCTTCTTGGCTTTGGACAGAATGCCCTTCTGCAGTGATACGCATTGATAAGTGGGCACAAGCCAAACCCCTGCGCGTGTCTCATGCTAAGCAACAGCGTTGCCCTTCCCCTATTCGGTTTGCTGCCGCTGCAATCGCTTACCCGATCGCTAGCCATGGTGCTGTTGAAACGGTTCACTCGAACCAACTCTGATGCCAAGATGAGTTGGTACAAGTGGGTGTGAGAGCAGCACACTTCCTGTCATCCAAACTCATTCAATGCTCGGACAACCAGCATGCTCTGCCCCCAAAGACTACAGCGCCATGCACTCAACGACCCAACAGCCCGCTGCTCAGGACCCTGTCCTGACAGTGTGTGCAAAGTCGCCAAGTCACCATGGATCGACCTACTGCGCTTCACAAAACACACTTCTGGAAAAAAATGAGCAAAAGTGTGTGATGTTTGAATTTTTGTTCTTTGATGTTTTTGATCTTCTTCTTGATTTTCAAGAGGGAGAGAGGATGACAAGTCTAGATTGAAGAAGCACGGATCGAATTAACCAGCACAGATCGAAAGAAAACTCATACCCAACACCAAGGAAATGCAAGCACTCAAAAGTCTATTTTAGTCCATGTCCTCATCCATGGCCTCAACTGGTTCTTTGCCCTCCTTCTTTTCAGAAGAAGAATCACCAGCTGCCTCAGCGTCGGCATTGGCCTCAGTTGGCTTGGATTCCTCGGCAGGCGCTTCCTTGGGTGGCTCGACCTTAGGCTTGGGCTTGTTGATAATCGGGTTGCAGATGCGCTCGAGGGACTGTTTAGCTGACAACAACTGAGCCGTCGTCAACACGGGTGTTTCGTACTGCAGACCACACAAGCCTCGTAAGTGATACACACGCCCCCATTGCCAACAACAGCAAACAGGAAGCCACAAACAGGAAGCAGCGACACGAACCTTGGACAGCTTGGACTGCTCAGTCGTCTTCTCATTGTACATAGCCTCTTGCTTCTCAACCTCAGAAGACACCTTGAGATGCAAAAGTCAGGAGAGAGCATTAGGCAACCGAGCTAGAGCAAGAATGGTTTGCGCACGGTCATCACCTCTGCTCAACGCACCTTCTTCACATCGTCCTCGGAGATGTGAGAGTATTTCTCGTCGCCAGCTGCATGCTCGGCCAGAAATTTGCGCACAAGAACAATGGCCTTGCGGAGCGCCTCCTCGGCACCGGGACGAGTTTCATACTCCTCAGCACGCGAACGCACCGCATTGCCTGTCTCCTGCAGCTCCTCGAGCTTTTGCACGTACACCTGTGGCAGGGAATGCGGAGAAATCAAATGAGTATGAACGCAATGATGTCTGTCTTTGAGAACCCACTCTTCCTTGTGGTCAAGGAGCAAAAAAAGGAGGGGGAAAAAAAAACAAAAAAAAAAGCGCAAAAGCAAATAGCAAAAGCAGGAGCTGATGCTATCATAAACTTGCCTTCTTGGGTTGGTCTTCACCCTCGTCGTAAAGCCAGTCCTCGACATTTGTCAGCGTTGAGCGGAACTTTTCTGAATCATCAGGCTTGATAAATTCTTCATAGATACTGGCCACCTTGTCGCGCATGTCGTAGATGTACTCCTCCAGTGCATTTTTGGCTTCATGCTTTTCACGTTCGCGCTGATCTTCAAGCTTGAACTGCAGCTCAGCCTCAATCAGACTGTTCAGGGCCGTCTCGCTCGTGACGTAGGGCTTGCTTGCCTGGACCTTCAGAGCAACCTTCTTGTGTGTCTTGGGCTTCTTCTTCTGCGGCTAGATGAACCAGTGAGGGTCAAAATGAGCCAGCCGCCGGTGCCCTCGGACTCCCACAGTGATGAGCCCAGCCTTCTGCAAGCTCAAAGCACGCACCTCCTTCTCAGCCTCAGTTTTCTTGGCGGCATCCGCAGCAGCAGTCTCGCCTTCAGCTGCAGGTGTTTCTGGTTCCTGTGTGAGGGAGAAAAATTGTGTTTGAGGCCGGGCCAAATTACGTCAAAAGCCAGACCCTCGAGTGCTCGAGGTCTAACATAACCCCTTGCTAGGAAAATCAAACAGATTGAATAACCAATTCTACCGTGGCTGCTGGTTCGGCTTCAGCTTCGGGGGCGGCCTCGGGTTCGGGCTCTTGAGGCAGTTTTTCGATCAAAAATGCTTCAGGGATCTGGAAGCAGCCATGTTCGTCCATCTTGACCTTGACCTTGACCGCTTGCGCCTGGCCGTCAAAGGAAGGCTTCACACCCTGGATTGTAAAGGAGCCAATCGTCTTCAGGGCATCCACCACCTCGGCTGGTGAAGTGTACTCAGCACCCAAGGTAAAATCGGCCTCACGCTCAAATTCAACCATCTAGTGGTGATGTGAGCAAGTAAAGAAGCGTGATTAGCGTGAATCACCTCGCTAACTTGCATTCATGTTCGTGCAAAAGGCACACATTGCCCAAACGCCTGAAGCCTGCAACAGACACCAATGCGCGTTGCCTACCTTTGAGGCGTTCATGGCACCGTTGCGTGTGTAGATCTCCGAGTGACCATCTTCGCCGCCCTTGGTGTTCTCCCAAGTGATGGTGATGCTATGAGGAGTTGCATCAACCACCTTCAGAAGGAGCAAGCGGTAGCATGGTGAGATGTGGTGTATTAATATAATTCAAGGCAATGAATGGCCGAGAATCTTGACGAAACAATAGGCAGGACAAGCGCATGTCTTCAAGCAAACCTACCTTGAAATCACGAACACGGAAAGTCGGGGATTGAATGGCTGCCATGAGAGCACAGCCACGAGCCACAGCCTCATCACAGTTGAGGGTAGTGCTGGGCTCCTGACCAAAGACCTCTTGCAGAACGCGCTTAACGCGGGGGACGCGGCTTGAGCCACCAACGAGCTCGACACTAGCAATGTCACTCAGCTGCACTTGGTGGACTGATTGGATGGTCTCGCCAAACTCCTTGATGGTGTCCTCAATCTGCTTGAAAAGTGGAGCACAGAGCTCCTCAAATTCGTCGCGGCTCATGGCGGAACGGAAATCGCGATCATTGTACAAGCACTCGAGGTTGATGGGGAGGCTCTGTGAGTTGGCGCTCATCTGCTTCTTCAACTTTTCGCATTCTTGCTCGAGCTTGAGCAAGGGGCGAGGCTTGGCGCTGATGTCAAGGCCAGTTTGTTCCTTGAACTGCTGCACCATGTGATCACGCATTGCCAACGTGAACTTGCGTCCGCCGACACGGCAATGGCTCGTCGCCACCATCTTGAGCTTGCCCTTGACGAGCTCAGCCAAGGCCAACTGCATAGACCCGTGCCCAAAGTCCACGAAAACGACACGACGGGGCGCCTCCTCCTCAGCCGGCAAATCCTGCTTGTAAATACCGTACGCCAGAGCAACTGCCGTCGGCTCGTTCATGAGGCGCAGGCAGTTGAGGCCGGCAATCTTGCAGGCATCCAGCATGGCGTGACGTTGCGCATCATTGAAGTAAACGGGAATACCAACAACGCAATCGACGGCCTGACACATCCCAGAAGCGGCGTGAGGGCCAGCGAGCAACACTCCAAATTCAACATCAACTTCATTTGCGGTTGAACCCCTTGACAGCGGGGGTACGGTAGCGGAGGGCTATCGTGGCCTACCTTGCTCCGAAGAGAGGCATCAACGCACGACTTGAGGTGTCCAAGAAGCGCCGCAACCACCTGCTTGCAACCCAGGGTCACTTCTTCACCATTGTGGTTGACGACAAACCCCACGGTGCCATCCTCCATGGCCTTGTGCTCGACCGTCACGCCCTTGAGCTCTTCCTGGACGTCCTCGCTCTCGTAAGAACGACCAATCAAGTTCTTAAAGTAGGTCACGGTATTACGAAAGCTCGTCACCGATTTACCCTTGGCGCTCTCGCCCAAGTAGCGTTGCTTATCACCAAAAGCGGCCATGGTGCTAAGAAGCATGGAAACGAGGTGCCGTGAGTTGACTTGATCAAAGAAGGCATCTGGTTCGCCATCGAGTCGCACATCAACTTACGGAGTTTGACGATGGCTGTAGTCGTTGAGCAGGACCTCAATACCACCGCCCTGAGGCACAGCAAACGTAGCCGTCTGGTAGCCGAAATCAAAGCCCATGCAAGAAGCCATGCTTCTGGTCTTGTGTTAACAGCCGCCGGTTTTAGGGGGAAAAAAAAAAAGGTAGGGGGGAGAGGGACAAACACCCAGAATTGTACAGGATGGGAAGTTCAGGGCAATGACCCTGTTTCCAACTTGACGCAAATTGCTTCCAACTCAAAGTCTGTGCCGCCGTGAAGAGGGCAAGAAAAGAAAGCGAGAAAGATCAGTGAGAGGAAGCGCCCCAGCAGCGCGCCACGTCACGCACAACTCGAGATGTCCACGGCAACCTGGCCAGCACAAGAAAAAAAAACGGAAGAAGAACAAGAAGAAGAAGCAAACAGGCCTGCACCTTGCTTAGCCAGGTACCTCGTCCGCACATTGCACGGCACGACCCAAGCACAATGCTCGACGCACGCCGGCGCACAAGCACACAAGCACACGAATGCAATCTTACCCACAGAATATAAGTTTGAAAATGCACAGACCTCCAACGCGTGCGTGTGTATGTGTTGTGTATGTGTAGTGTGTTGTGTTGTTCGTTTGAAGTCGTTCAAAAATGCTTCGCGTCGCGCGTTGCCAGTGAGTTCTACGTATCGAATAGAGCCTTTGCATATCAGCTCTGTGTGTGTGTGTGTGTGTGTGTGTGTGTGTGTGTGTATGTGTGTGTATGTGTGGTGGTGTGTGGTGGTGTGTGTTGCGTGTCTATCCGCATCTATGTGCTCAAGGCCTCTTCACGTCGCTGCCACCGCCCGAAGCTTCAACGAAGATTCTTCGTCTTTCGACTTGTGTTTCCTCAAGCCAGTGAGAAAGACCTCGAAACTTCTTTGTTCCATCCAGTTCGAAAGACTGACTTGTGTCACGTTTGGCTGTGATTGAAGTGTAATAAATGTTAGCTTTTAACTTGACACGTGATCACCATAAAAATGTCAGAAGACATCAGCAGTGAAGTGGACTTCAATTTTTGTTTGACAAGCTCAAGTCAGTCTTCTTTGCACAAACGCTTCAAACAAGCCAACACAAAATAGAAGATTCCCACTTCAAAGATTCGCATGCTGGAAAGCAACACTGTGAGCGACCCAGGGTTGTTCCACCTTCATGCGACGCTCAGTTGGCGCAGAAACACAGAAAAGAACACACAAGATCGTTGGCCAATGCGAGTCGAAACAACACCAGGAAAAAAGAGACATCTAAAAAAACAAACATTGTTTACGCCGTCAAAGCTGAGCAATCACAGGCGTGATTCAGCGGGTCACACGAATCGAGCGTAATGTCACAGAAGCCATAGCCGATGCCGACCAAGGCATCAACGTCTGTCAACCCAGTGTCAGTGATCACCAAATCCTCGACGTAAGCCAAGGAGGAAAGGGCGGAGATGTTGGTCAGGCTAACCAAACCATCCAGCTCCAGCAGATCAAGGGAAGCGATGGGACCAAGGCCCTCAAGTGTGGTCAAGCCATCAGAATCGCGGAGGGACAAAGTGCCAACAGCAGTTAGTGAGCTCAGCCCGTTCAGAGAGGTGACGCCATCGCAGTAGCGCATCGTCAAAGCTCCAGCATATCCAAGAGAGCTCAACCCGGCGAGTGAGCTCAACACTGCGTTTGAGCGCAGCTCGAAAGTTCCACCGATGTAGGTCAAGGCAGACAGCGCATCAACGTTAGACAGCAGAGTGTTACTCCTGAGCACGAAGTTGTTCTCAATGCGAGTCAAGCCATCCATGCCCGACAGAGTTGGAAGCAGCGTGTTACCCGTGATCACCAAGGCGTTGACATTCTCCAATTCCGTGAGAGTGCCAAATGAGGTGGGATCCACATTGCACGAGTACGAGGCACCAAAGTTCTGGAACTCAACGTCGCCCGTGACTTGACGGCGACCCTGAAGAAGATCGATCGAGCTGGTAAGGTCTGTATCCAAACGGCAGCGCACCCAACTGTTGTAGACAGGGTTGATGGTGGTTGTCGTTGTGCTTGTGGTGCTGGTCGTCGTCGTCGATGTCGTAGTTGTGGTTGAGGTCGTCTCCTGACCGCCCAGACCGATGCTGGCACACGTGCATCCCGCACAGCTGGGGTTATTGGCGATGACGCAGAAACCAGTCACAGCCAGGCCTGCAAGGTCGCTGATGCTGACCAAGTTGTCGTTGTTGACAATGCGAAGATCACCTGAAATTGTGAGACGAGCGGGGTCCAGACCACTCAGATTCGTCAGTCCATCCATATCATCGATGACAAGGGAATCCACTGATTGTAAACGGCTCAAAGGAGCAAGGCTGGTCACGGCATCTTGGTTGCGCAGCGTGAAGTCACCCTCCACATATTTCAGGTCTTGGAAGGTATCAAAGGTCGTTGTGCCCATGTTGCAGCCCGTCGTCATGAGCACAAAGTCCGTGATGATCTCTGCGCCTGTCATAACAAATCGAATGCCGGCAAGTTGCGCTGAATTATCGCAATACACTGGGCCCGCACGCTCAAGGAGGGACGTCGTCGACGTAGAGGTTGTCGAAGTGGTAGTAGTAGATGTTGTAGTTGAGGTTGTGAAAACACCAATTGAGTCACAAGTGCAGCCCGGGCACGACGGCAATGTCGAGGAGTCGATGTCGCAGGTTCCTCGGACCGTGATGCCATTCAAGTTGGCAATGGTTGTAAGAGCTGGTAGGTTATTGATGATCAAATCACCTTCAACAACAAGGTTGCTGCCCACAATTGAACTCATGTTGCGCAGAGATGTCATGGATTGCACAACAAAGTCGCCACCAATGGACTGAAGATTGCCAAGATAGCCCAGAGTAGTCATGGCGGGCTGGTTCGAGATGCGGAAGTAATCGGTCACAGTTTCGAGCGTACGAAAGTGAAAAAGGAGATTGTTGGTGGCCATGCAGTTGCTGACCAAGGCAATGCTGCCATCGACGATGACGGT